TTATAAATTTTTACAATTTTAACTATGAATTAGGGTGCGGTAATTTGTTTTAACGTATGATTTTTTTAATTGTCATAGAAAATAAGAACCTTTTAAAAACCATACTAAAATTAAAAATAACACAAAATTAAAAATTACGTTTTAGAAATCATAAAAATTAAAAATAACATGAAATTAAAAATTACATTTAAACCCTAAAAACGAAAAATAAAACATGAAATCAAAAACTAAAAAACCTTGAAAAAAAACATAGCATCGAAATTTCAATTGTTTTTCAGATTATATTTTTCGCGAATCGACGCCTTCACCATTTTTGTCGCTTCTTGATCTTCGGGGTCGAACTGGCTCACGTCTTGCAATAACAACAAATATTTTGTAAGTCCGACCGTTTCAGTAATATGCTTCTCTAACGTTAAATTCAATTGTGTCATTTGTGCCATTATTTTCTTCGATCTAGCTGACCGCTCGGTTCTAACCGACAAATTTGAAGATGTCACTTTCCCTTTTTCTCTTGCTCGAGGTTTGGTTTTGTCCATTCCCATTGGAGGAGGAGGTGGGCGTATTTCTTCGATATCGTCATTATTATCATTATGATTAACACCTACATGACCATACGATGCCACATGTTGTGAGCTCGAATATGAAAATGTTTGGCTTCTTTTTGGTAAATTGGGAATTTCTTCATGTGTTGCAAGTTCCCTCTACCTAACGCTTTTTGACAATTTCTTTCACATAAATAAACTTAAAAGGCTTTAGTATATCATCTCGGAATATAGCATTCATTTTTTCAACAAACTTACTTCACTTTTTCCACTAGCTCATTGCTTTTTAAAGTATGTGTAAATTCTATTCCAAAGTGTCACGAGTTTGTTAACAAGATTCCATTTCAAGTTACATTGGTCGAAGGTCCGATAATCTAGATCTCAACCCATTCTCTTACAAAACTATTCTGTGATACGTAACCAAAATTGATCACTTGATTCTTTCCCGTGCCACCATCTTCGAATATGTCAACCCATGCCTTTTCTAACTCGGTTTCTTCTTTTTTTGTCCATTTTCTCTAATCGATTGAAGGTGTGAAAGGCGGATGGGATTGAAATTGAAATTGGGTTTGGGATGGTTGGGTTTGCGGTTGGGATTGAAATTGGAATTGTTATGACATTTGGAATTGTGAATAATAGTTAGGAACACCATCCATTTGTGGTCAGTAAGGTGGTGGTGATAACGGATTGTAGCCGAAAAGTGCGAACGGGTTGGAAACCTTTTGGAGTGGAGCATTTTGCTTGGAAGAGTTTGGATTGTTTGAACACATTTTGAATGAAAAGTATGTAAAGAATGTGTAATTTTGGTTGGAAGAATGGTAATATATATATATATATATATATATATATATATATATATATATATATATATATATATATATATATATATATATATAACAGTAAATTTGTTTTAAAAAAATGAGAAAGTAGCCGTTGCCAACAATTGGCAACGTTCCATTCCAAACACAACATTCGATTTTCAAATTTTTGCTATCGGTAGAAACCCACCGTCAGTATTATATTGGCGGTAAATTTTTTGGTTAGGCCCGGTGTTTACCTGGTGGCAAAGAGGAGGTGACACATTTATGATACCGCATAGCTTTATATATTCATTAGAAAAAAAAATATAAAAACGATGGGAAGCGATGGAAGACTATTTCCTAAGGTTGGTGGGTGTGGGCAATATGTTAAGACATTATCATATCCAAAATTTACCAACTTATATGTCATGTCATATTTAACATCATTTGATTTATATAGGAAATGATGTGCAAATGTTATAACATGTTAAGAGATACAAAGAGAGTTAGAGAGAGAAAGAGAGAGAGAGAGAGAGTGTGTGTGTGTGTGTGTGAGAGAGAGAGAGATAATGGCTTCTGATTGATTAATTCTCATGTTACTTCCCATAGCCATGGTAGCATTTCTTAACATAACACCAAATAACATGAGAGGGGGCGGTGTTCCAGTGTTATGGCGTCGTTATCGGAGCTGCCAAATCAGCAAACGCCTTATGGCGTTGCCCATACCGAGTAGACTAAGGGGGTGTTTGGTACAGGGAATTAAAAATAGAGAAAATGAATTGATTCCCTTTCTCTTGTTTGGTTGATACAAAAAATAAATAATTGGGAAATAAATCAATTCCCTTTCCATCATATCCATTCTCTATTTTTAAAAGAGAAAAGAGAGAAAAGAAAAAAGAGGTGTGACCGAGAATCTAAAAAAAAAAGCAGAGAAATCGATTTGCCCCCCATTCGAACCCCACTATGTGCAATCGGTCAAAATCAATCGATCAACAGGTTTCAAGCCGATTACCATGCAATCGGCCCACGTAATTTTGATTGCCCTACATACGTCGATACATAGGATCAAGTCTTCACAGCAGTGTTGCTTTATTCACGCATAGCTTCTTCTTGGGGGATTTTGGCATCATCTTCTTCCAATCGAAGGTATGATTGTTAATCTTGTTATGAATACTTCCAATTCAAGAATTCTAATTTCGAAATTGTATTAAAATCTTGTTATGATCGATTCTTCTTATGATTTGGAATTGTGTTAAAATCTTGGTATGATCGATTCTTTGTACCTGTTTGAATTCTATTTTTGATGTTGAAACATATTCATGACAATCGATTCCTCATATGTTAAAATTAATTGTGTTTGGCAATAATTGTAGATTAGTTTTTTTTAATATTGTTTCAGCACTTTCTTAGAATTTTTGTCCAACTTTGAACCTGAAACGACCCAAAAATCACGACAAAAAAAAATTTCTTTAAAAGCATTACTAGAATCATATTTATAAAAACTGTATCATAAGTCATAACATAAATTCTCGAGTATTAATTCAAAACATAATATCATTATCAGAGTCAAACATTCCCAGGCTAACTGACTATGGTGTGTGCACTGCAATCTCCCCGAGCTCCTCTTTTGAAAACTGAGTACCTGAAACCAAAACTGAAAACCGTAAGCACGAAGCTTAGTGAGCTCCCCCAAACTACCACATACCATACAATAACATATAAACACATATTGGGCCTTGCCCACTGCATCGGGACGAAGCCCGGAAACTGCATCGGACCGGAGTCCGGAACTGACTGGGACCTTGTCCCCTGCATCAGACCAAAGTCCGGAACTAACTGCATCGGACCGAAGTCCGGAACTGACTGGGACCTTGTCCCCTGCATCGGACCAAGGTCCGGACTAACTGGGGCCTTGCCCCCTACATCGGACCGAAGTCCGGAAACTGACTGGGACCTCGTCCCCTGCATCGGACCGAAGTCCGGGCTAACTGGGGCCTTGCCCCCTGCATCGGACCGAAGTCCGGAAACTGACTGGACATAGCATAGCATAACATATCAACTAGCATGAACACATATACTGCATACTACATCGAGCCGTAGCCCGGAACACATAACACATAACACATAAAACATAGCACATAAATCCTGTCTGAGCCACGAAGGCATCAAACATACTAACTACTGCATCGGACCGAAGTCCGGAAACTACTGCTAACTAAACGGGCCGGCATTGTGGCCTTAGACCCGTCCCTACTGGAAGGAAACTCACCTGAGACTGCTGAACTGATGCTGCTAATCCTCTTGACTGCTACTTGACCTCTGACTTCGACTGCTGCTCCACTAGCTCCTCAAGCTACCAATATCAATATAACACTTAGTCCAACTGACCTCCAAAGGTCGCTAGGTCAATTCTGGTCAAGGTCAAAATCCTGGTCAAAGTCAACCCTACTCGCCGAGTCTATCTACTGACTCGCCAAGTTCATATGCTCTGGGTCTTTCTTATTCGCGACTCGACTCGCCGAGTCAGTCCATGACTCGCCGAGTCCAACTAGGTCCAAGTTCTGTCCTGTCCAACTCGTTGAGTCACCACCCGACTCACTGATTCGAGTCTTAACTCGAAGGGTTTAGGGTTTCGCGATCTGACTCGCCGAGTCCAAGAACAGACTCGCCGAGTCCTAGACAATCTTCAACCAACTCGTCGGGTTGTTCATCCAACTCGCCGAGTCCATGCCTAACTTCATCCGACTCGACGAGTTGTTCATCCTACTCGTCGAGTTCCTCCTCATCTTCAAGCTACTCGCCGAGTCCACTCGAAGGACTCGCCGAGTCTATCCAGTCCTCAATCCATGCAGTGGCTTTTCGAGCCAAATAGAGTTTCCAACTCATATATCCATACTTCTAGGGACTATTCCCCACGTAAAGTGGCAAACTTTACTTGTAGATTAAGAGATCTAGGCTCAAAACACCCTAAATTCGGGTTTATGGCAAACATACTTCTTCAACATACCAAGGGCTGATACTTTAGGGGATTCAAGACCCAAAACAAACGTGGATCTGAGGTAGCAACCTCAGATCTGAACCTCCAACTCGGATTGGTTACATATCATACTAAAAATGACCAAAACTCACATATAAGAATAGATCTAGGTGCAAAAGGGAGTCCAAGCAACAGCTTATTACCTCCAATTGTTCTGAAATGACTACACAATCCCAGATCTACAGTCCCTTCTTGCACCTCCAAAGCTTTTCTTCCTTCTCCAAGCTTTAGTGCACTCTACAAGGCAAGATCTAGCTCAAAAACGGATATGGCGGCTAGGGTTTGGTGTTCTGGGGTAGAGAGGCAGTAAAGGAACCCTAGGAAGGAGAATGAGACGCTTAAATAGACTCCAAGTTCCCGGATTTAGGGTTTTCCTCGTTCAGACCCAACTCGTCGAGTCTCCTTGGCCGACTCGCCGAGTCGGTCGCTTTCACCACAACCCGGATCCCGCTCGGACTCGCCGAGTCCCTCCATGGACTCGCCGAGTCTCCCCTAAACTTGAGGTTTTCTTTCTTTTCTTGGCTTTCCAAACTTTGGGGTGTTACAGAACCATCATAAAATCTTCATAAGAGCTTGGAATGAGGTGATTTTCTTTCCAGATTGTAGCACTTTGTCTTGGCTATGTTTTAGGATCAAACAACAGATTATTTGGTTAATTTTTGGCTCAGTTATACAAGCCTAAACATGGGCTGTTAGTTTTTTTTTATAATGTGACAACACTTTCTTAGAATTTTTGTCCAACTTTGAACCTTCATAAAATCTTCATAAGAGCTTGGAATGAGGTAATTTTCTTTCCAGATTGTAGCCCTTTGTCTTGGCTATGTTTTAGGATCAAACAACAGCTTATTTGGTTAATTTTTGGCTGATTTATACAAGCCTAAATAGGGGCTGTTAGTTTTTTTGTAATGTGACAACACTTTCTTAGAATTTTTTTCCAACTTTGAACCTTCATAAAATCTTCATAGGAGCTTCGAATGAGGTGATTTTCTTTCCATATTGTAGCCCTTTGTCTTGGCTATGTTTTAGGATCAAACAACAGCTTATTTGGTTAATTTTTGGCTGAGTTATACAAGCCTAAACAGGGGTTGTTATTATTATTATTTTTTTCTAATGTTTCAGCACTTTTTTACAATTTTTGTCAAACTTTGAAACTTCATAAAAACTTCATAGAAGCTCGGAATAAGGTGATTTTTTTTTCAAATTGTAGTGTAACGTCCCAAAATTCAAGACTGAAAATTTCTTACATAAAACATTACTTAAAACATAATTATCAATATATAACATAATCAGAGTATTAATTTCCAAAACATATGTTCATTATCAGAGTAAAACATTCCCAGGTTGTCTAATCTATGGTGTGTGCCATGCGATCACCCCGAGCTCTTCCCTCCGCTACCGGAAGTACCTGAAACCAAAACTGAAAACCGTAAGCATGAAGCTTAGTAAGTTCCCCAACCTACCACATACCATGCACAACCACATATTGCATATATTTGGCCACGCCCACTATTGTGGGCCTCACCTGCTACAACGGCCCCGCCGCTCCAGGCCCCGCCTGGCTTCGAGCCTCGCTCGGACACAGATCTGTTTCACTTAGGCCTCGCCCGCTAACATATAATAGCACATAAACATATCACAACACACAAGCTAAACATATACTAATGGATCCTTTCCTAAGGCCTCGCCTATCCTGGGCCACACCCTTTTCCTGCTACTGATGAGTCATGGAACCCCGTCCATGCTTCTACTGATAGTGAGATACTGGCCAAGCCCACACTCACTCTTTCCCTAACTTGGGGCTCGCCCCTGTTCTGTTGCTAGTGAGATGTGGAACACCATCCACACTATGCTATTGGTGAGATACGGGACCTTGCCCACACTCACCTCCCTACCAGGCACATACAAGTATCACACAGACAACAAGTATAAACTATCATATAAACCATTCCTTGGGCACCCGCCCGCTACCATTGGACCTCATCCTGAATATCATACTAGCATATTGTGCCTAGGGCTAACCCCCGGGTCTTCTACTCATAACTACATGGGCCGGTATTGTGGCCTTAGACCCATTCACACAAAAGGAAACTCACCTGCACTTGCTGAACTTGCTGATACCCCTCTGGCTGCTGCCTGACAACTCTCTGAACTACGGCTCCACTAGCTCCCCGAGCTACGAATACTAATATAACACTTAGTCTAACTATCCTTCGGAAGTCAACTAAGTCAACTCTGGTCAAGGTCAAATTCCTGGTCAAAG